CAACCTACCAACGATGGCCTCCAACCTACTAGTGATGTCCAACCTACTAGCGATGGCCTCCAACCTACTAGCGATGGCCTCCAACCTACTAGCGATGGCCTCCAAGACACTGAGGACCGACCAGAGACAAGAAACATCCAAATGAGAAAACTACTCGCCCTATAACTCACAGCACGAATAACTCTGCTCTTCAACAGCTGCAAACCTCTGTCTCAGTGTTTGAAAAGGACGTGTGGAAAACGTCTGTGGAAAACCTCTGCTTTTCCGCACCCACCGGCCGCTGTAGTTCTCAACACCTTTTCTATTCTTTGGCCGGCTCCGCGTCCGGCAGAATGGCGGCGATCCGGAAGTCCTTCGCGAGACGACGCCGAACTGATCCGAGAAATCCTCAAAATGAAAGCGGTTACATTCCGGATTCCCCTGAAATCTGTTGAGCGAGTCCAGCCTTCTTCCAAATAACTCACTTGGTCTCGTGTCGAAACAGCGAGCTCCTGAACGATGGCGCCCTCTCGGGGCAGCTCGTAGACCACAAAGTGCTCGCGGACCTCGTTCCATCTGAGAATCCTCCAGGGACTTGAGTGGTGAAACTTGAGGAACTCTCAGGAACTCCCCCTCCGGTAACTCCGAAATGATCACACCAATTTTGAGGTGAAAACCCCAACCACACCTGAGTTCACCAGTGTCCATGAGCAAAGAAAAGGGTTCTTGATCATGGACCCTAAAGACCCTGTTGGATGCGTTCACAGTTCGCCCTCAAAACATGTCAATCCTGCCGATCTGAGGAGTTGGCTCGCAAGTCTTCCTTACTCCTCGAAAGCCATCGCTCCTCAGAACTGAGCGCGCTGGCGCGCGGTAGGAACTCTCCCAGGGGAGCTTTCGACATGGTGAGTCCTTTCACCTCTCATCACACTTTTTGAAGTGGGAAAACCTCTTCGGCCGTCGGCCTTGCTTCGTTCAGCTCCAGAAACCAAGAGAAAGTCCGTCCAGTTCCATGAGGGGGACGGCGCGGCGGTCGCGGTCCAACGGGCTCCTCAAGGGCCAGGCGGGTGGTGACCTGAGTCCCATGCTCGAGCTTGTGCTGCTTGTGCTAACGGAAAGAAAAGGATCTGAGAATCTTAGGAATATCTGAGTATCTTAGACATAGGATGTATCCCAAGCCTGCTGTTCTGTTCCTCTTGCCAGTTCGAGTCATCGTCAGCTGTATGCGCACGGGCCTGTAGCCACTTTTGCCCATGGTGTTGGGCACGACGACCCTGCACCACCTGGCAGTAGTGTGGTAGAAGCTCCCACCTGAAGTGCCGATGGAGAACCGTGGGAAGGTGCGGCCACATGCAGCTGTGCGGCAACACCGAGGAAACCCACGGATGATGGCGTTTCAAAACGTGTCAGAAGCTGATCTAAGAAGTGATCCGGTACCAGAGCGCCAAGGATGGAGCTCCACACATTACATTGGCCATCCACCAAGTGGCGGTCATTCCACCAGCCCAGCGTTGACGTATAGCTTGACCCCGTCTCGTGGTGTTCATTTCGGACCGTGGTGCCGTGACCCCACCAAGGTCGGACGCTCCGACCAGGAACGAAAACAGGTCGGACCGAGACGTGCAGTGAATGGACCAGGATTTGGTTCTGGTTCACGGCGTTTTGGTAGGGCTTGGAGGATCTCAATACTGCTAACAGAGCTACCACTGACGAATACAGTCGAAACGGAAAGGCGGCAATGGCCTCTACCCTAATAGCAATGTCCTCCAAACTAAGAGCGATGGCCTCCAACCTAATAGCAATGGCCTCCAACCTAATAGCGATGGCCGCCAACCTAATAGCGATGGCCTCCAACCTAATAGCGATGGCCGCCAACCTAATAGCGATGGCCGCCAACCTAATAGCACAGTAGACAGTAGACAAAGAACCAAAGAGAATGAGGACATCCGCACATCCGCACTACCCGCACTCAAGCTCGCAAGAAGTGGCGTGCGCAGATGGTCAAGGATCCGTACAAACGATGCCTATACGTTTGCCATTGATCTTGCCCAAACTTATACGAATCCCATGAAACTGTTGGATTGACAATCCGTGAAGCTGGCTCAGTCAAGCACACAAATACATCATGATTTTTAGGGTGTCGCTTTGATCTTTGACCGAGCTCACCGATGGCACAACTCCATATCTACTGCAATAGGAAGCAGATTATCTATGAACTCAATTGACACTCCAAACATCTCACGCGGTAAACTTGGCGCTGGAGGAGTGTCTTGACTTGCACTGTTTGTTGGAGGCAAAATTTTGGATACAGTATCAGAACGCTCTGAAGGAACACTCATCTGTTGGTGACATCTAGCATAAGGATTTTAAAAAATGGTGTTAGATGATAACAAGTGATAAGAAATGACAGTTAGATGCACATAACATCACATACAGTAACTGTCTATCATAAAGGAAAACACATCTCTGTGCCTAATCGAACCCCCCCAGCCTGGACCCTGGTCGTTGCTGAAGCCTCATGTGGTGCGGTCGCTTGCTTTTGGAAGTTTTGACGGGATCATGAAGAATCATGGAGAATCAGTATGAGAATCTGTTGGAAAAAAGATGAAAAAAGAAATTTAAGAAAAGAAGCACTTGGAGACTCCCAAGAGGTCACTGGTCACTTTGAAGGTGGAAAGAATTCTGATGTCTGGATTCTGCTTTTCGTCAAGATCTCTGACAAAAAAACCGTCGGCCGATGTGAGTCTCCCTACGGTGGATTGAAAGTAGATGGCACAGACCCCAAGAGGTGGTATATATGGACCCCCATCTAAAGGACATCATGGGGTGCCATCTACTCTGAAACCTGTGTGTTAATTCTTCCAGGTTGTCTGGGTACCAAGCCACACCGCTCGGGCCGTCAAGGATGCCACTTCCAGGCGCCCAGGCTCGCTGCGCCTGCACAAGACACACCCACCCTGTGAAGAATCGGAGTCGATTTTAAGAATGCGCCTCAGTTGGGTCCGAAAACGTGGCTGCCAACGTCCGTTTCCGACGCTTCGCGACGGCGGCGACCGCAGAGACTCGGTCGGCGCAGACGGTGTTGTTCCGCTGCGGGGAGCGAGGGTGCTTTCAGGTGTCAAGCGGTTTGTAGCGAGGGCCTTCATATAGACAGGTGTCAAAGCCCCTTCCACCCTTCCGCCTACAGCACCATGTAGGAGTTTGGGTCAAATGGGACGGCAGCCGTTGGGTCTTTGGGTCTGTAGACGGTTTGAGTTTTGGAAACCCCCCTGGTGACCTGGTGCAATGTACATTCTTCATGAACAGTCGGATCGTCACCTGCACGTTCTCCCTATATCTCCCGTCCTAGTCTGCCGTAAAAGAATCAAACAAGTTGGAGAGTCTCCGCACAGTTCTTTCCCGTGTGGTTTCACCCCGGTCCGACCTTGGTCTGCAAGCAAAGTCTCCGGAGCACACGCGAGGTCGTACGGTCCGGCACATCCATCGTCGTTGGGAGTTCGAAGTCTGCTGGGAGTGTGGAACGGGGCGGTGTCGAGGTTTCGACGAGGTCGGAGTGTGTCGGTTCAGCCCCACTGCCTCTTGCCGGACATGGACTCCACCTGTGAAGTAGAAGTCCGACATCGATCGACTCGAACATGGAAAAACGAAAAGTTGGTTCTTCTACACAGGGTGAAGAAAAGCATACAAAAGCCAAGTTCATGCCCAAGTCTGCAGAGGTGTGTGTTGTGCCCCCGAACTGACCGGTCATACCACAGAGTAGGCCGAAACAGAAGGGCCTTCAAGCAGGTCCAGTTGTCGAGGTGAATAGTTCGATCATCGAATCTAGGTACCTACAATCAAGAGAATATCTACTATATATATATATTTATATATATATATATTGTCTAGCTCAATCAAGCAAGAAGCATGTTTTGGATCCACAGCTAGTTAAGTTTGCTCCATTCCTCCCACCACTGTGGCAGCGGATCGGGTCCTTGGTGGAGTTTGCCAAGCCTTGCCAAGTCCCTGCAACATAAACCCTTGCCCGGTCCCTCATCATTCATCCGCCCTTCTACAAGTGCTATATAGACTTGGATGAGTGGTAACCTCAAAATGGACCATGTTCATGTTGTACTGGGTACCCCCTCGATAAATCAGGAGTGCCCCCAAGGACCCAAGGACCATTCCTCGCCCCCCTGCGCCATCGCACAAGCTCGCTGCACCAAATTGGTGTGCTTTTTTCACACGGCCGTTCAAATGCAATGTTTTCTCGTCCGGGATATCGGCTTGCCTTGAGATAGGACCGGAGATCGCATCTCACACCCAAGGAAGATCGAAGACTTGCATGAAAGTTGAGCAAATGCTCGCGATCACGTGAAGTATCTACCCTTCCTGCGGGAAAAATTGACCCATGTGTCCGTCACTCCACCCAGATGGGTTTATCGATGCCTTCCTTCGATACTACCCCCACCCACAGACTAAAACAAGGAGCCTGAAAAATTGCCCTTTGGAAGACTCTTTTCCTCTACAACCCGACGTGGTATTGGGCTTCCATGTGGTCCGAAGAGCAGGGGAACCGGTTTTTTGATGGGCATTAAATTCCGACTCCGAAAGGTAGTTCTATGTAGATTACAGCCATCATGTGGCGGATTCTGACTCCCACGAGTCCCCATTTTTGTCGCTGAGATACATGTTTGGTCGTCCCGTCCCAAGGTCCTCCCGGTGAGGGTAGCAAGATATTCTAAGATATGATGACCAAAAGGTACTCCAGATGAGTATCCAGATGAGTATCCAGATGTCATTCTTTGATGACTCTCTGAGTCAAAGAAAAGAACTCTGCCGTTCCAAGCCCATCTCCGCAGCCGATGTCCTCTACCCGGTGACCGATCAACCATCAAGTCACTGAGTAGCCTGAGTCCTTGTGACTCACCCTTTTGCGATCTCAACGGTCTCGGACTGAGGTGAGGTCTGTGGGGGAAGAGGTGAGCCCGTGACCCCTGTTCTGTCAGTCAAAACACGCGGGTTGCGGACTCGAATTTCCAACCAGATGTCCGACTTGCACAAACAACACATCTTCACATGTTCCGCCATTGTGGTATTTCGCCCTACACTAAGGACCCCTATTCCAGGCTGCCCCATTCTGCAAGTTAAAGCCCCGTCTTGACCCAGTCTGGGGTGCAGCGATTACACTAGATATCTGGGCACGAGAATCCTCAAAAACGCTAGGTATTTTCTATGGCTTTATACAGCTCCCAGCACTGGGCCGTAAATTCTTCCAGCCGGCGAAAAAGTGCAGTCCAGCCTCTGACGTGCTACTTGGAATGGGTCTTAAACTTTGGATTTCTGCCCGACACCACACGCACTTGCCACCTCAGCGCGGACCGCTTCTTTTTTCGTGGCGTGGCTCCTGGCGACATCAAAGCAGAGGCCACCAGTCATGTAGACATTTGCTGAACTGTCAAACCTCCAAGTCTGAAAAGGCTTTGAAAAATCCATGTCTGGGGGGGGTTGGAAAAGGATCAAGAGTCTACAGTCTACAGTCTGTACCTTCAGAGACCTCGAGATCTCGGAGCGACCGGAGCGACTCCCAGGAGCGACCGCCCGAGGCTTTCCTGGGTGGTTGGAGCGCCCCCCCGCTGCAGACGGCGCGGCTTCAAGCAGCTTAAGGCTGGACGGATTTTCACCGTTGATCTTCATTGAACCAACTTGTTCCAGGAACACTGCCTACTCTTTGACACGTCAGATCAACGCCTGGATACCAAAAGACCACCAAAGAAAATCCGCAGCATCTTGAAGACCGTAGTTGAGTTCTGATGCCCCCCCCCCCCCAACCGGCTCTTCGTCCGACTCGCCGAAAGTGACCGATTTCGGTCTACCTCGGTGGACCTGAGTCGGGTCTCGCCTCAAATGAACACCGCTTCGCCGAATTGGAGCAAAAAGGTCCTGAGCAGCGCAAGCGTAGGAAGCCGCAGCAGGCCGGGATGTCAAGCAGATCGGGTTCCAGTGCCAGTGAAAAACAGTGCTGTAGAATACTAGTAGCAAGGACGCTACTAGTAGCTAGGGCATTTCTATTAGTAACAAGAAGCTACAGTAATTACGTAGGTTGGAGGCCATTACTACTAGTAGCAAGGACGCTACTAGTAAGTCTCTCACTGAGTCAATCTACATATATAGCTTCAGACAGCTTGATCCTTCAGGGCCCATGTGTTGAAAATGAACGTCTGATCAACTAGAGCTGAGAGACGAACATGTTGCAGGAATGCAGGAATGCATGTGTGCTCGTTTCCTTTATGGGAAAAAACCGTGGAAAAACCGTGGCAAAACGTGCTCAATGATGGATTGCATGCGGAAGAAGAAGAAGAAGAAGAAGTCGCTTTCCTTTTTCGCGTGCACCACAAAAGGGGAAACACCAGTTAGGAAGACTCCGTGGTGCAGGACCTCACCGTGCGAAACCTCGGTGCTTTGGTGCTCCAGCCGGGGCCAGCCAGGTGACCCCGCGAGCCGCTGCCCACCTCCCCGCGAGCCGCTGGGCTTCTGCTTCGCGCCTGATCTGCAGCGGCCCAAAGGTCACCACGCCCACGGTGCTGCGCGCGCTGCGCATGCGGCCCAAAGGTGCACCGGGTGCGGCCTCGTCCTCCAAGGGCCACTGGATGCGACGATGCCTGGAGCCGGAAGGCGGTGATCTGTCCGATCCACCCTGGAGCCTTTGAGAGATGGAAGTGGCGCCCTGCTTCTCCAAGTGAAGCACCAAAATCCACAGTCAGTCCTTATATGTCCTGATGGAAATTCCTGGGATGCAGTGGAGTGAGAAAAGGAAGTCCCATGAGGCTCGTGAGACCTGTTCCGTCAAGACTCATCATCCTTGTGCTGTGGATCCAATCAGATTTTACCTCAAGTAGGATGATCGACAAGCATCTGTTTGCTGGCCTTTACTAACAAACACTTGGAGTTGTGTCAACAGCTAGACCTTCCCCAGTTTCGCACGGCAAAAAAAAAGAAAACATGTACGCGACCCTTCGATGTCCTGTTTTCGATCAGCGGCGCAGCGGACGTAAAGCTCGGCATCACTGCTCACCATTTTATGCTAAACCGTTGATGAACAAGAGAAGGCACAAAGGCCAAACATGATGTTTAGGTCAGAGGCACATGCCATGCCTACTCTTTGTCAATGACGTATCCATTAATTCCTTTCCTTTATTCTTTTGGGGGGGGGGCCGAAAGGAGCAGACTCCAACGGAGCCGCTCGTTCGGCCATGGCCGACCTTTGTGTGTGCTTTCGTTCGCTTTCGCGCGGAGCTGCCGAGGCACTCGACTTCATCCTTGGAGATGGTCCCTCCAAGGCCACGCTCTTCGATTGAAGTGATCGAATGGCCTGGCGTTCTAAGGATCCGAGCTGCTCTGACGAAGAGTTCGGGACCTTCTGACGAGGAGTTCGGGACGTAAGTCGTTCCTTCTATCAAGTAAACGTTGGGGTCGCCATTGCGATTCAGAATCGCCATCCATGCACCTGTCGGTGAAGAACCTACATGAGCGATGGGCATCGATGGCGAGCGAATCTTCGGTCGCAACCAATCGAGACAATCGTGGCACCGCAGGCACTGCAAAACCTCGTCTCAGTTTCGCAAGTTAGCTCACTGAGGCTCAGTGCGACCAAAACACCCAGCACACACCTGATGCTGCCACTGCGTTTCACAACCCAACTAACCAGCTCTCCACTTCAATTGGGCATCCTCTATCCAACGCACACCTGTCACTGATACTCCTTTAGGGTGGCCACACCCAAAGCTGTTGTGCATCTGTCGCTTTTCCACACCACCATTCCAGTCTCTCACATCTCCATCTCACACAAATACATGATGTGCACGCAATCTCTCTGCAACTCTTCATAACTCAGACCTCTTCGAAACGTCAATTACAGTACGCAGGTTTTTCTTCTTTCGAGATTCACTTTGTCACCAACTGGCGTTTGCTACATTCAGCTTCATCAATTGCTTACGCGCAGTTGCTTGAGGTCGCAGAAAAAAGGGAGTGTCGGACAGAAGAAAAACATATCCCTGGAACCCCAAACAACCAGAAAGAAATGGTTGTTCCAATATGGCAATTGAAATCCTTTACATAGGAAATGGTTTCTGAGTCGAGAACCGTTCCGTTTTCCGTGTGTTTTCAGCGTCCTCGGCGTTGCACCCCGTCCAGAGCGCCATCCGAACAGCTGCGGGGAAGAGTGACGAGGGGTGGCCGCGAATGTACACGAAACGACTCACGAACTAACATGAGACATGGAAGTGGATGGCCCGGGCCTATAGAAGCAGGTAGTGAACGCCACTTCCATGTTAGTGAGTTGGAGGGTAATGGAACACAAATTCCGAAACGCGTCAGGGCAGTGGAAGTTCAGGCCTGTTGCATCGTTCTTTAGAGGAACAGAACCGGAGGTTTCAACGTGCAGAACCGAGGGGAGCTTGCGCTTGCGCAGCTCCCCGTGCTCTGCACGGGACAAGTTGTCGCCCCTGTTCGTCACAAGTATATGCTGTTTCTTTGAAACTTCCGCCCAGGCCCATATCTGTGATGTTTGCATTTTCGCACAGGTATGCTTTGTCAATCACTTGCCTGTGCTCATGCGTGA